CAGAAAGAGATCCAGCAGGTTAGTGGCGTGTGACGAGACTCGGGGGAAAAAAGTACGGCCCGTCACCAGCTGGGTCAGCCCTTGAGTAAGAGCGAACGCTTCGATTGCACGACCTGCTGCATCGGTCTTATTTGAGCCCAACCAAAGCTCATTATGGGCATTGAAATAACCGAGAAGAACTACCTCTGAAGCGGGGTGATTGATGTTCAGGAAGTTGTCCAAGTGCCTCAATGGTTCAATAATAAAAACACCATTTCTCATATTTCACTGAAACCTATCTAATGCTCCACTAATTTTGGAGCTATGAAACTTTACCTCATTTGAGTTTGATTAATATCAGGCTGTATGCTCCGAGTTGGGATCGGAAAAGTTGTAGTTCGGAATCTGAAGATGAATTTTCTTGCACTGGTTTGTAAGATGACGTCGAAGGAAGCTCGCCGCTTTTATCATTCGGTGTTCCTAAAGGCGGGTTTACACGCTACGTCTTATTGTACGTTTTGTGGGACAGGACAAATCGTATCCAATAAAACGTGGCGCATAAACAGCAAAACGTACGTCTTGTCGAATCGAAATCCAAGGTCAGATTGAAAAACTGATAAGAGAAGCATCACTTTGCGAGAACTGATAGGACAAAACGAAACGCGTAGACTCATGTTCAGACAAGACATCCGATCTTGGCTCAGTTCACGAGTAGCTCCACTTCAGTTCGCTTCTTTTTTCAATAAAAAACTTAATAATGTCAGTCGTGCTGCAACGCACTCACGATTTTCTCGAGTAATTCATTGAAATGTATGAGTCATCATCCGTGTTTGTGGCAAGTGAAAAATAAAGACCATATTGACCGTAGTAAAAAAAAGTGGCGTATGAAGATCTTCTAAAAAAATACAAAGAAATAGACCCGATGGCAAATAAAGAGGCTGTTACAAAAAAATAAACTTGGTTTGCAAACAAGAGTTGGAAAAACTGAGCGCATCATAAATCTCTGTGACTAGCTCTAGCAATTGAAAATAAGCTGAGGTGTCCATTCGCAAATATACTAAGTGACATATAAATCCGAACACCCAGTTTAAATGGTTTTATTTCAATAAAATTTTGTATAAGTACTTAATGAAGCATAATAAGTAAATGATAAAAATTTCAAAATGATTGCACTGCTTTAAAGCCCTTTGACCTTTAATAATGTGTGTATGCACCCTGATGTGCTACGCATTCTCCAACGCGCCTAGGCATGCTTCTGATCAAGTGGTCAATGTCCTCCTGTGGTATCTCATTCCAGGCAACCACCAACTCCTCTCGAAGTGCTTCTAGAGTCTGAGGAGGACGTTGCAAATTGAGCAATCTCCTACCCAGCATATCCCACACGTGCTCAATTGGGGATAAGTCGGGAGATCTTGGTGGCCATGGTAACAATGTGTCATCATTATGTTGAAAGAAGTCTATTGTGACTCTTGCAACATGTGGTCGGGCATTATCTTGTTGGAAAGTTGGATCTGCCAGGGTGTCAAGATAGGGTAAAAGATGGGGTTCTAGAACTTCGTGGATATAACGCTGCGCGTTCATGTTACCTCTGATGAAGATTAAAGGTGACCTGGAACCATAAGCTATAGCACCCCAAACCATAACTCCAACAGTGTGATGAACATGTCTTTCAACAAAAAACTGTGGATTCCTCCTTTCACCACGTCGCCTTCTAACCCTGGCACGACCATCGTGCATGCCTACACAAAATCGAGACTCGTCACTAAAGACAATACTGTTCCATTCCTGATCCCAGAGTGACCGTTGTCTGCACCACTCAAGGCGATTACGTCGGTGTTCTCGAGTTAAAGGGAGGACCCAGTGTGGCCGGTATGAAAACAAGCCAAAACTTCTCATTCGTCGGTAAACACTTCGCATGCCAATAGGTCTTCCGCGTTCTGCAAACCATTCATTTGCAATGGACCTGGTAGTGGAGAAACGGTCCCTTAAGGACAATAATCTTAGGCGGCGATCTTCACGGTCTGTTGTTCTACGGCGGCGTCCAGTGCCCCTTGCTCTTTGCGTACGGCCTTCTCGAAGCCATGCCTGACAACACCTAACCACAATGTCTACACTTCTTTGCACTCTAACTGCAATTGCCCGAAAAGAAAGTCCAGCTTCCCGAAGTCCCACTATACGGCCCCAATCAAACTCACTAAGTTGACGAAATCGTACAGGTCTCCGTACTCTAGGCATAGTAACCGATCGTAAAGGATGTCAAGAACCAAAATCTGCCAACGTTGATTCTTTACTGCGGCTGAAATATTCATTTTTAGAGCGTTAGTGAATTAAAAAAAGCAGTATAAAAACCGGAATGCCCAACTGATAAGGCTGAACATTTTTTCACTTGTTACTTACAGTAAGATAAATACATTCACCAATTTTTATTAAAATAAAACCATTTAAACTGGGTGTTCGGATTTATATGTCACTTAGTATAATTGCGCGGGTTATCAGGTTCGCTCCTCAGTTGTTTCGATAACGAGGCGTGGGAATACTGGCTTCTTTTCAGAAGCCACTCGTTTGACCATCTTGTCTTTTCCCTCTTCATCCCTTTTTCTCTCAGTCGTTGAATCCTTATAATTGAAAAAATGAAAGAAAGCAGCCGTGTTTCCTCGATAATAAAAAAAGCCTCGTAAAAAAATTCACTAAACAAACTTCACACAACTCAATAGTTTAGATTGGAACTGTAGTAGAAGGCGGAAGGAAAAACACGTAGTGTACTGGACAAAACACTTCTTGTGTTTTGCTTGCATTTTTTGCAAATCTTTCCAAACTTGATATAAAATGACTAGTTTCTTAACACAGTTAGGTATAGATTTAGTCGGTATACATGCCTTTTCCCAGTAAATAATGCACTTACGAATAGTAAGGTTGAAGCTATCATTGAGCCTTAATTTCACTTCCCGGATATTATAGAACATAACCGATAGTACGAGGGATGTCTTGCATATGGAAATAAAACAACACGATGGGTAGTTTTGAATGACTTTATTGTTTTTCGAAGCATTCTCCACGAAGATTAATATATACTTTATCTGAAGTCACTTGAAACACTGTGAAATACCGGGTGCGTTTTATATATCTATATTTAAAACGCTCTGTTGCTGCAAAAATCGCCAAAATTCACAGCAAATATCCCCCGTATAAGATCAAAGGCAGTTTCACCGGTCCACGTGGAGTAAAGCACGCCTATGCGTGGACATAGCCAATGAGAAAGCGTGTATTTCAGAGCTCCGAACAAGTGCAGGTGGCTACTGAAAATTGAAACAGTTTAGCCAGTGCCGTGTAGCGGTGAATAAACGTGATTTCTTTAGTCTGTCCGTGTTTTTTCATAGATTTTATTAGTTTGTATGTTTTTGACTTTTGAATACTCAGTTTACTTGTTGATTTAATTGTTGTGTTGATTGTTCTTGTGTGTCCTAAATATGGGTCTTTGGAGACCTTGGGAAAATGCTCCAAGCCACGAGGAGATGGTTGATGAACCTGTGCAGGCAGAATTCTTTCATAAAGATTTAGAGGAACAGACCCAAAGAGTAATCCTAAATATGTATATGTATGATTGTCTGAAAAACGAAAATCCAGATTCCTCGCAAAATCAAATTTTAAACAGAATTTGTATCCTGACAAAAATCAGTCGGTCTACCATTTATCGGGTTATAAAAAGGGGAGATGTAGTCAACCATTCCTTCCACAGAAAGCGCATAGGGCAAAAATTAAAAAGAATAGACGTGGGTTTTCAGGAAGATATTCGTCGTATAATATACGGATTTTATAAAGAAAATTTGGTGCCCACGTTGGAAATGATACGGGATAAATTAAAAGATTATCCTGAACATTTTTATAATTACAAATGCTTAGACTCACTGCACTGTATTGTAAAACTGTGTGGTTTTCAATACAAAAAATTAGATAAAAGAATGGTGATTATGGAGTCGTCTCGAATCGTTGAATTGCGTCAAGAATTTTTGCACAAAGTTAAAATCTATAGAGAGCAGAAAAGAAATCTGATTTACCTGGATGAAACGTGGTATGATACCCATGATGTTGTGCAGTACTGCTGGGTTGACGACAGCAACAAGTGCATTTTAAATGCACCATGCAACCGTGGAAAACGAATCATTATTCTCCATGCTGGCAGTGAAAATGGATTTATACCTAATGCCTTGCTGTTATGTGCCAAAAATATCAAAGAATCATGTGCCGACTATCATGAGGACATGACCTCCGACTTATTTGAAAAGTGGATAGAGCAGCAGTTAATACCAAACATTTCCCCAAATTCAGTGATTATTATGGACAATGCACCATACCATTCCCGACAGAAAAACAAAATTCCGAATACAGGCACAAAAAAACAAGACATTATTGATTTTATGAAGGATAAGGGAATGGAAATACCACAAAAATCGACCAAAGCTATATTATTGGATCTTATTAAAAGACAAAAATTTGAAAAAGAGTATGTTGTTGACAATCTGCTTCAGCAAAATAGCCATGAAGTATTACGTCTACCTCCCTATTACTGCATTTTTAACCCGATTGAGTTGGTCTGGGAGCTTTAAAAAAAAGTAAGAAAACATAATCTGACCCCTCAATTAAGTGAATCGCTATTGGCCACAATAAGAGATGCAGTATCTCATATTGCTGCCACAGACCTATGGAAGCAGTGTTCTAGGCATATTATTGAAAAAGAAAATGAATATTGTGTTTTGCCTCCTGTAAATCCCGTTGTAATTCCTCTACAAGATGACTCTAGCGACAGCTCCGAAGGCGAGGATGATATATAAATACCTATAATGTAAGTCTTTATATACCTTTTTATATACCTACCTGCTATGTAAATATTTGCCTATGTCAAACGTTGGAATTCTGTAATTTTTCCATTTCTTAACTTTCAGTCAACATAAATTAAACTCGCAATATAAGTATTTTTTTATCCCAAATCAAAAAAATAAGAAGATAGTAAAATCCATTTATTGTCATATAAAAACATTATTATTATCGTTCTAAATAAATGACCGCACGCCTATGATACGTCATGAAATTACAAAGGACGCGCCGACCTAAGGTTTTTATGCTATTTCAAGTGACTTCAGATAAAGTATATACATCTATCTGCATGCGCTCGAACCAATTTTCGAAGCACTTATCCCACTCGTTTGCTGCTAGATCCAAAACGGCATTTTTGAATGCATCAACTGGACAGGAACCTTTGACCACGCAGTCTGTTTTTAATTTTCGGGAAAGTAAAGAAATCTTTAGGACTTAGACGGGGACTATACGGAAAATGGTCCAATAATTCCACGTTTTCTTCCGTTAAATACTGCCTTGTTTTTTGGGCTGTGTGCGAGCTTGCATTGTCTTGGTGGAGGATGATTCTTTTTTCGGGGTTGATTTTTCGAAGCTCGGTGATGACTTTTGGCAAACAAATGGTGGTATACCAATCCGCAGTAACAGTTCTTTGCTCATTAAGAGGAATTGTTGCAATATGACCCGCTTTTGACACAAATATCGCGACCTTTTCGAAACACTTCGAGAACGGATGACTTTTGTGGGCTTTTCTTCACCTTGGAACACCCAAACAGCCGACTGTCGTTTATTTTCTGGTTCATAACAGTAAATCCACGATTCATCACCACTAACAATGCTGTACACATTTTTTGAGTTTCCGAAATTGAAACGGTCAAGCGTTTTTTGACACCAATTAACCCTGGCTGCTTTCTGCTCTTCAGTCAACAGGTGGGGTATGAAACGAGAAACTAATTTTCTTACTCCTAATTCTTCATGTAAAATTTTTTAAATTGAGGTCTTTGAGATCTTTAAGGACGCCTCAATCTCGCGATATGTCACATGTCTATCTTCAATGATGAGTTTGCGCACAGCATCGACGTTTTCCTGGGCGACTGCCGTTTTTCGTGCACCCCCCTGGGATCGTCGCTAAGACTCACCCGTCCACGTTTGAATTCTCCATACCAAGGCATTCTTGTTGCGATAATTGTCTCTGAAAGTTATAATAAATTATGGCGCGAAAATGTTCTCGGTTAAGTTCCATTTTTCTAATGACTGGGTGACACTTAAAAATTCACTGTGCTGAGAATACTGCACGTATTGTGAAACTTTGAATTTAAGTTTACTAAAGAGTGAGGTTAAGATTCAATACTGACGTTCGATCCGCGCGGCCTACTATGTTTCTATAAGACATCCCTCGAACTTGTCCATTAGAGGGAAGTTTCGGGACAACCTACTGAGAATATTAACTCTAACTTTACTAACTTGGGAATTAGATAACTCATGCCAGTGACCGTTTTCCTGAGAAGTTTCGTTCAAAATTCTAGTTAGCCACATCAGCCCAGATGACGGGGAGTCGCCGACAATAATCCTGCTTCCATATGGACGCATGTTGGTGGTTGACCGTCGCGTGGTGAGCCGGCTGCAGAATCACAGGGACGTGGGCGGCATGGAAATGATGGAAGTGGGTGCCGATTTGTACAGACCCAGCATGCATCGCCGGCCTTCACAACCGCTTACCATCGCCAGTACGCCTAGTTTCATCATCGATTCATCGGATACCAGCAAAGGGGTTACTCCTACCTCGTTGGTAAGTATTCGTTAAGCACATATGTCACTCCCCCCAAGAATCCTCATATTTGATCGACCCTAAGGGTTGTATCGTCGGTCGTTCCTACAATTGTGGGACGCCTTTATGGCGTCCTTGATTTTCATAGTATTTTATCTCCTTCAGAGATGTATTTCTAGATTTCTACTGTTCCGTGTCAGCGTCAGCGCTCTCCTATTGTGAGGCTATGTTTTCTTTTTGAAATGTAGGAAATTTCAGGCTCATTTAACAGATAATATAAATCAAAGGCATGACTAGTTGATGCAAATAGAAATTTGTAACATAACCTCAAAATAGAACGCTTACACGGAACAGTAAAAAACTATGAAAATCAAGGAGGCCATAAAGGCGTCCTACAATTATTGTAGGTAGTAAAACTTCTGCAAGGCAAATCGTGGGAGGGGTTATTTATATTTTCTGTGTTTCATCTGATTATTTCATGGTGTGTTCACTGAGAAAACGTAGTCAATTAGACACTAAACAAAAAGTCGCCATTTTTTAGACAATATGACGTTTCTGACCAAAAGTGACCGACTAATGACGTCATGTGGGCGTCATCATGATTACTGGATAGCATGATAGGTAATCTTTTGAATATCAAATTTAAGATAGTTATTTAAAACCCGCAGAATGTAACATACACTGCTTAACTTATTTTCTGTTTTCTTATACAGGGTGGCGCATCGAAAACGAAACAGACGCATTTACTGGCAGCATAGTTTTTTTTTTGAAAAACGCTCAGACCCGTGGATTTTGTTTTCGAGGGGGACACAAGTTTGGCAAAAAATCACGTTAACACGTGGGGCGGGGGTGACGCCAACGCTGATATCTTAAATGGAAAGGGCGGTCGAGTGATACCTTATTTTAAAGGTCTTTCAATTCCCTTTATAATGATATAAAATTAACGTACTTCAGTTCATTAGTTTTGAAAATTTATTGATTTAAAGCTTAAAGTAGACTTTAATAGGTACATCAGATTAGTTTGTACTACTTTCAGAAGAAATTTGACTAACAGAATTTACTTAATAAGTAAATGCTTTTCTTCACTACGCCCATGGTTTGTTTATCATTTTGTTGTTGAATATAGCTATTGGAGCGTTTTTTGTGGCAAAAAAGTTATTTCTTGAAGACAGATAAGGAAATATCTCGTACTTATTTTAAATAGGAATTTTATACATAGTTTGCGATTGATTTGACTAAACTTTGTTGCTAAAATAACTTGTAACGCTTTATTACATAAATTAACCATGGTATATTCCACAGCAGAAAGAGTTGAAATTATCGAAATATTTTTCGGAAATAATCAGTGCGTTAATAGAACAGCAGAAATATTTAATGAGCGACATGAGAATAGTAACGTGCATCGAAAATATGTTCTAAAACTTGTAGGTAAATTTCGGGAAAGTGGGTCAGTCGCCAATAAAAAACGCAACATTGAAAATCCCATAAGGATCGAATCAATATAAGTGGGGGTTTTAGGGCAAGTTTATGTAGATCCTACGTTAAATACCCGCAAATTGGAGACTGTGTGTGATGTTAGTCGATGTATTGTCTAACGGATTCTAAAGGCCCATAGTTTTCATCCGTATAAAATTCACCTGATACAAGAACTTAATGAAGACGATTTTGATCGGCGATTACAATTTTGTGAAGATATGAGTGAACGAATTATAAACGATGAACATTTTCTATTCAACACTTGCTTTTCCGACTTATTCTTAAATGGCGTAGTAAATCGTCATAACTGCCGATATTGCGCTGGGTTAGAATTACAGGATTCTATGTTACAATTTTGTCAAAACAAAGATAATGCACCACAAGATTCTATGGAACGTGTACTATCAGCTCAATTGGGTTCCACAGTTCTATGTAAACGGTGAATGGGGTTATTCTTCAAAATAACATAAGACCTTTTCGTTATTTTGTAGCATTGCTACCGCAAAGTTTTATGTACAACATAGGATTTCCCTTTACTATAAATATTGACCTTTGTGAGGTGCAATGTTTTATGTTTAACATACAACTTTGTGGTTATATTCTGAGTTAACCTACGTTTGAGCAAAGTTCTATGTCCTGACATAGAACTACGCATGCTCATGAGGGCGCCATTGCATGACGCATTCACTTCCGTTGTTCGTTACACAAGTTCGTTTGCTTTTCGTTGTGTATAAAGTATTTGATCAATATCATTCCATATGAGTTCCGAATCTGAAAGTGAAGATCCGTTTGCCGGGTATGATAGTGATAAGGATAAGGAATATTTTCCATCAGAGAGCGATTGGTTTGTATTAGTATAGTTTGTATAAGTTATTTGAGGTTATGTTAGTAAACTAACACACTGATATATTCATTCCAGCATTGAAAATAAAGATCCTGCTTTTGAAAGTGGGGAAAAACTTGTTTTGGTATCTCAGATACCTAGAACTAGATACGATGTACATAATACCATTGAAAATCTTAATAGAGATGTATGCGGTGTACCTCCAAATAATAATGTTCTGACTGTGACACCTGTGGAAGTAGAGCATTATAGAATCACAGACTCAAATGATATAGAAAGGGTTCAGGTGGAAGCTGAGTGTGAATTTGATAAGAAGGTCCAGAAGCGAAGAGCTAGAAAACGAGAACGAAATCCTTCTGCATGGGCACTTAATGTGCGCAAAGAAAAAAGAAACAGAGGGGAGTCATATGTATCTTCTCGAAAAAAGGTTATGCCTGCTCGATCTATTAAGAACTTGAAAGACTGTAGTGTCCAGTGTCGTAACAAATGCAGTACATACATTACTGAGGATCAACGGAAAGAAATTTTTGAAGGATACTATAAGCTCACAAAAGAAGAAAAAAATTATTTTTACTAGCAAATACTACTAAGCAGGTTCCAGAAAGAAGACGCAAGGGCAAATGTGAAGACAATTCTAAGAAGAAAGCTACTTTTTATTTTTATTTTACTATAGACTCTAAGCGAATTCAAGTATGTAAAAGTTATTTTTTGGGAACATTAAGCATAAGCCAAAAAAGTATTTACACCGTGTATATAAATAGCAGAAATGTGGGAAATACACCTGCTCGATCAGTGCAAGGGAAGCTCACAAAGCACAGTATACCAGAAGATGCAAAGCAGTTGGTAAGAGATCACATTGAGTCTGTGCCAAAAATTGATAGTCATTATTGTCGTGCTGATACTACTCGACAATACATGGAATCAAGTCTCAATATAACAAAATTATACAAGCTTTACGTCCACTTGATGCAAGAAAAAAGAAACACTCCAGTCAAGCAGTCTTTATACCGTCAAATTTTCTGTACGGAGTATAATATTTATTTCCAGCGGCCGAAAAAAGATCGCTGTGACGTATGTGAATTTGTGAAGCTAAATGAAATGGAAGAAACACAGCTTGATGAGCAAACAAAAATTAATTATGAAAAACATATGCTTGAGAAAAAGACTTGTCGACAGGAAAGAAATTCGGACAGGGACTGCAAGGAGAACGCAGTTCTCTGTTTCGATCTCCAGAACGTTTTGACTTGCCCAAAGGCTGAGGTCAGCAAGTTTTTTTATAAAAGTAAACTATCAGTATATAACTTAACGGCACACTTATCTCTCACAAAACAAGTTTACTGTTCAGTATGGGCAGGACACCTAATTGGAAGGACAGGAAACGACATTGCAAGTGCACTTTACAAAATTCTGAGTCAGGTGGTTAAAGTTCATCCCAGTTTGACTGAATTGATTCTGTGGTGTGACAGCTGCGTCCCCCAAAACAGAAACTCAATTATATCGTTTGCAATTACAAAACTGCTTTGGGAAGGCCAAAATAAATTGGAAACGATTACAGTTAAGTACTCTGTGCCTGGTCACTCCTGTGTTCAGGAGATTGAAGCAGCACACAGTGCCATTGAAAGAGTTTTAGATAAAACAGAGTACTATAGTCCTCTGTCACTTATCAGGATCCTTCTAAAAGTAAATACACATAGACCTTATAAAATTATACAAATGCAACTTAAGGATTTTAAGATCTTCCAAACGGTTTCTTCCCTACATCGTTATGATAGAGTACCGTTCTCTAAGGTTTCATCACTTCAATTTCGAAAATCCACACCTCACATAGTACATTACAAAATTTCTCGTTCAGAGAATTCTTTTACAGAATGTGAAATACAAAAAGAAAAAATAATGGAAAATGCTCTACAAAGTAGAGTGAAATCGGCAACTACTACTTCCAAAGTAGCGCTTTCAGCCAATAAAGTTGAATCGTTGACTTTTATGCTAAAATGGATGCCACTGATCGATCAGAATTATTATAAAGCCGTACTACCGGAGCAAAGTGGAAAAACTAAGAAAAAGAAAATTAACAAAAACAGGAACTAACTACAAAATGTTTCCTTTTCGTTTCTATAATATAGGCTGTGACTTCAAAAATCCTTGAACTAGTTTATTTTATGTCTCAGTTTATTTTTATTAGGATATTTTTAATGTTTTATTTAACAGCTTATATTGTACCAAAGTTATATGTTCATAAATATAACCATTTTTTGACTCCCACGGTTCTATGTTTACTTTCACTGAAGTTTTTCTCAATTCACACCAGCAATAACAAGTCTCTGTAGCCGAATAACATGACTCATTAATGGTAACGTAATGTGGAGACACTTGAAAATTCAAAGAATTTATTGTAAGCGTAGTTACAGAACACTGGACTTTCAGATGCGTTTTTCTCGAATAATCACTTTTGTAACATAGAACCCTATAATTCTCACCCAGCGATTGGTCCGATTCTAATCCCAGAATTTATCATGAGGTTCATACACAGCAGCCACAAAAATTAAATGTTTGGGCTGGTATTTTTGGCGATCATTTAGTTGGTCCTTTTTTCTTACCTGGAAATTTGACCGGTGAAATGTATTTGGAATTACTGGAAGACGCCATAGATCCTGCATTAACAGCCATAATTGAAAATCAGAATGATCGGCGGTACATTGCG